GAAGATGTCGAGCTCTCCAGAACATCTGGCCCATGCTCTTCACGGACGACGTGTCCCAAGTGCCGATGTCCTGGTTGAAGGCGTCGGCATCGTAGAACATGCGTAACATGTTCGTCACGGACGACGTGTCCCAAGCGCCGATGTCCTGGTCGAAGGCGTCAGCACCCGAGAACATCGAGCTCATGTCCGTCACGGACGACGTGTCCCAGGTGCCGATGTCCTGGTTGAAGGCGTCGGCATCGTAGAACATGCGTAACATGCTCGTCACGGACGACGTGTCCCAACCACCGATGTCCTGGTTGAAGGCGTAAGCTTCTTCGAACATGGAGCCCATGTCCGTCACGGACGACGTGTCCCAGGCGCCGAGGTCCTGGTCGAAGACGTCAGCCACCTTGAACATGGAGCCCATGTCCGTGACGGACGACGTGTCCCAGGCCCCGATGTCCTGGTTGAAGGCGTCGGCATCGTAGAACATGCGTAACATGTTCGTCACGGACGACGTGTCCCAGGCGCCGATGTCCTGGTCGAAGGCGTCAGCACTGTAGAACATGTACCGCATGTCCGTCACGGACGACGTGTCCCAGGCGCCGATGTCCTGGTCGAAGGCGTCAGCACTGTAGAACATGTAGCGCATGTCCGTCACGGACGACGTGTCCCAGGCGCCGATGTCCTGGTCGAAGGCGCGAGCAATGAAGAACGCGTAGGTCATGTCCGTGACGGCCGACGTGTCCCAGGCGCCGAGGTCCTGGTTGAAGGCGGAAGCACTGCGGAACATGTACCTCATGCTCGTCACGGCCGACGTGTCCCAGGCACCGATGTCCTGGTCGAAGGCGTCAGCGATGGCGAACATGTAGCGCATGTCCGTCACCGACGCCGTGTTCCAGGCGCCGATGGGTTGGTTGAAGGCGATAGCGAGGTAGAACATCTGGCTCATGTCCGTCACGGACGACGTGTCCCAGGAACCGATGTCGTCGTTGAAGGACCGCGCGTTCGGGTTGCTGCAGTACGAATCACC